GTAGGGAGACCACGGACAAGCCCGTGATGGGACATGTGACGCAGACGCTCGAGTGTAGGGTGACCTGGGAAGAAGTACCACAGCAGTGAAGGGTGGGTGAGCGACTGAGACGAGGAGGCTGCAGCTATCTGAGAGGACGCGTCGACCTGGGGGGACGCTCCGGGGATGCGGTGTCTTGTGTGAACAGCCCAAACACGGGGTCCCGAGGGAATGTGGTAAGATGGGCACCAGTGGCGGCCTCGGTACAGGCGGCATACCGCTCGTATCCAGGGAACGTAGTGGTGATGCCAAGGTCCTGAAGACAGCCGACACCAACTAGGTTCCTAGAGAACAAGGGGATGTGCAAGCCTGTAAGAGAGCCAGAGGGGAGCGCCAGACAGGGAAGGGTAGTGGAGCTATATGCGACTACCAGATCTAAGGATAGGTCAAGAAGCACTACAGCAGGAGGGGCAGCAAGCAACGTGAGCGAAGTGTGGTCATGGAAGAAGCAGTCAGACGCTCCACAGTTGAGCGCGAAAGCAAGCGAAGCAGTAGCGTCTGTAGTAGCGGCGGCTGGCATGGGGGCTAGCGTAGAGCCTAAGCTAAACCAAGTAGGAGGTCCTGCGCCTGACGCAGCAAGGGAACCTAGACTACACACAGGAGGCACACCTACCCTAGGCAACACATGATAATAAGGTCTGGTCACACAAGAGTCATCAGCATATATGACATACATAACATTCCTAATCTGATCCATATTAAGCTCAAAGACACGCACACGGCGAGGGGCCATGGCGTACCAGTCAGGAGGGTCCAAGGTGTGGGACCAAAGCAAGGATGGTAGAGGTCGTCGAGGCGGCGGTAGTAGCGGGTGGCAGTGTGACCTGGATGATCGCAGACGGTGTCGCGGCAGGGGCCGGTCTGAAGCTGGTACTTGCAGGTGGCCACACTGGAGCCACCACCCGACACCGAGCTGCGCGGGGCACAACCACGACCACCACCACCAGCGCCAACAGGCCACTACGGCGGCGGGGGTCCCCATGACGGCTGTTGCTGCTGCTGCAACTGCTGCTGCTGAGGCTGCTGCTGCGGCTGCTGCTCTAGGGCACCAGCCGCGGTTCCCCCAACTGCACCACCATCTCCGACCCCACCTCCACCACCCCCACCACCCCCATCACACTTCCCTCCGCCACGCCCCCCCTTGGGGCGGCGGCCCCTACCCTGACGCTGCTGCGCTGAGGCCGCGGCGACGGTCTCAGCAGAAGGGGTTGTCTCAGTGACAGCGGTAGAAACATCAGAGTAAGTGCAGTGGGAGAGAGCACAGCCCTGGAAGATAGGGACCAGCGTAGTACCGCTAGTCTGAGCGATAGCGCGCTGGCGGGTCTTTATCGCGGACAGGGCGGTGACGAAGGCAGTGATGGTGGCGTCACCTGGGTGCTGACTAAGAAAGTGGTCGTGGGCAATGGCTAGGCGGTCAGGCAGGGGCGTGGAAATGAGGAAAAGGGTAGAGCAAAGCGGCGGCGGAAAGGTAGTGAGCTGTGCCTCAGTTCTAACGGCGTGATAGCCAGTCTCTAGAGCGCAGAGGTGAGTGGCAAGGTCAGCGATAGTGGGGAAGAATGCAAGGTCAAGGAACAACATGGGAAGGATTAGGCGGCCGGCTGGGGTTGAAGCGGGGGTGGAATAGCACGCGGTGATGGCATCTAAGTATTCCTTGGCATTTGCTACAGCGGTAAAGCGGGGACGCTCAGACAGGGGGAGGGCGTGACTTAAAGCAAGTTGAGCAACGTCGTCGCACGAATCCCAGACAGCGCAGGCAAGCTCAGCAACGGCAAAAGCCTCATGCTGAGCAGACGTGGGGGCGTCAGGGAGGGCAGCACACGAGGCGGGGCGAGGGAGCTTACCGTTGACATGGACGGCCAAGGAGTGATCGTCCTAGTGCTGCCCAGTCAGCTAGCGATGGAGGTCGACGAGCCACGCCTTAAACTCAGCGGCTCGATCTTCCGCATCCAGGCGGAGCAGAGAGTCCGACAACACCACGGCTGCAGCAGCTGACTGCCCCTGACAAGGGGAGGAGGGACAGAGGAGGAGGGCGGTGGAGAGCGGTAGAGAGCAATGGAGAGCGGTGGAGTGCGGTGGAGGCTGCCGATGAGAGTGCTGGCTCAGAGGGGGAGCCAAGGCTGGCGGGTCAGCTCGGCTCGGCGGTAGGAAGGGCCGGGGCGGGCTGGGACCGGCGGAGCTGCGGCCGGCAGGAGCGCGGGGCCGGGGCAACGGTGTTAAATTGTATATTTTGTTATATAATTGGTAGGCTTGGTAGGTGTTTCTGAAACCTACTGTAGAGGGTACAGCCCCCCTCCTTGTATGCCTCTCTCTTCTATACTCGACCCATTTTTCTCTCATCAACTTTCTCCTTCCTAAAACCTCTCGCCATTTCTATGGCTTCCCTCCTACCTAGATCCTAGCTTACTTTAACATGGTTTCAGATCAGGCCCCTTTCGCTCGGGCCTTCTCTTCATGCTTCCGCGGTGTACTCCCCCCCCCCCGTCACGCCACGCTGGCCTTGTCATGCCGCGCTGGCCCCGTCCCTCCGCGCCGGCCCCGTCACACCGCGCCGGCCCCGTCCCTCCGCGCTGGCCCCGTCACGCCGCCGTGCCTCAGTGCCTCATTGCCGCCGTGTCGCCGTCCGGCCATGCCGCCATGCCGCCACGCCGCCGTGCCGCCGCGCCGCCGTGCCGCTGGGTCGCCGTGCCGCCGTGCCATCGTGCTGCCGTGGCGGCTTCGCCACGCCAGCGCACGAACAGCTGCGGCCAACGCACGGACAGCTGTGGCCAGCGCCCTGTCATAGGCGCCAGTCGTAATGCCCCCACGCCAATAAGCGTTGCGCCAGCGATGGTGCCTCGCTGAAGATTCGCCCTGCCCCTCCCCCGACCCCACCCCCCCTCCACCCATAGCCGTTATGAGATTGGCCATGCCGCCGAGAGGGCGGGGGGCGCTGCAGCCGCCTCTGACGTTGAAGCCGCCGCCGCCACCGCTGTTGCCACTAGCCATTTGCCGCCACACAGCGCCACCGCCGCTCTCGTCACTGCTGTGCCTGCTACCATTGCCATCTACCGGGGGTTGGGATCTGACGGGACAAGAAAGAGTCTTCACGACGCTGTATTTTCCATTTCGAATTCCTCCGGATCTGAAATCTGAATGCCTCAGTATTATGATTAACAATGTTTTCCTGTGTTTATATTGTTCGATGTGCTAGGATTTCGCCTGACGATCCCACAATGCCCAAGATTTGTGGAAACATTTTCTCCTGTGCGTTTTCCGATTTTCAAAAATTGTTTTTACTTTTTGTGGGGCCTGAGTGTTTGCTCTTCAGTGGTGGGGCCTGCTGGTGCCTTCAAGGTGAATCTCACGCCCAGGAGAGGCTCCATCCCTACCTCGAGGTTTGGCCATGGTCTTGTCATTTGACATCGAGGTTCGACAATACGGTACAGTACAGCGCCTAGATTTCCGGAGGACCCCGAACCAGCCAGGCTGGACAGGACTGTGCGGATTGCGAACGAATCAGAGGAATAACGGAGGAATACAGCTCAGCATAGCAGGTGTAGAATCGGTAGGAGCCAGGACAGCAGAGGGGCAGAAAAGAGGGTGAATGCGTGTACCGTAGGGCTGCGCATCTGTGGGTTGCGCTTCCAGTTGCGCAACCCACGAATCCTGACCCCGTAACGCAACTGGAACATGGGTTTGCGCAGCTCAGCGCAAGCCCCAAACGCACCTGGAACATTGGGTTGCAGAAGTTTCAAATTTCGAAATTTAAAACACTGGGCGAAATCGTAAACAGGAATGCGTTTCGCCCAAATCGCAAATGCGACAAGCACCCAAACTTCCACCTGCGCGCCTCGTGGCACGTTGGGCGAAACGTTCCGCGGACGTAGGGTTGGATTTCTCGACCAGGTGGTTGTCCGTTTGATTCGCGCGGACGTGGGTTTCGGTTTGGGTTGCGGAAGTGGGTTTTGGAACCGGGCTGGACGAGGGTTGCGCAACCCACGTCCAGCTTTCGTAAAAATGCTTTCGCGACATTTGCGAAATATGTTACCATGCCGGGTTGCGCAACCCAAAACGGAACCGCAACCGTAGGCTCCACGCCCTGAAGCAGTGTGTAACAGTACATCTTGCCCCGGTACAGACACAGAAACTGCACAGCACACAACGCAGCGCTGCTGGCAGAGGGTGAAAGCAGACAGACAGCAGAAGGGGGTTTCTACTGTACGGTACAACATGGCGCTGCTGCATTGCACGCCGGCTCAGGCTAAGGGGTTGACGTCCAGGGGAATCCTCGACATCAACCTGGGGTTTTGACGTCAGGTTACCGAATTGAAAAACATTTTGACCATTTATAAAACTTGGGGAAGCATAACGTATCACACAGTGACGTAAAAAACTGACGTCCCAAATTCTACTTTTAACACCCCCTAAGTAAGAAGCTGACTGGATGATGCAGGGGTGAGAGAGAGGGGGTTAAAGTGAGAGAGAGTTAGAGGATTAGAGGGTGAGGGAGTGAGAGTTTTGAGAGATTGAGTTTGAGAGGGTGAGAGGGTGAGTCCCGCGGGGTACAGCGGGTGTACCTCTTCCAGCGCACCAATGCAAAGAGCCGTTTCCCCCTTCACGAGCGGGGGTCCTTTCTTTCCAAGATGATGGAATGAACAATCCCCGGCCGTTTCGAGCAGCACTGCTGGCAGTCGAGTGGCTTGGTTGGCTTCTCCAAGAAACTTTCTTTTTCTACTAGGAGCCGTTTCCCAAGTCATTGCCACTCCGACACGTCCTAGTCATGCAGTTCACGCCGCGTAGCCACCCAGGTTCACAGCGCCTAACGCCCAGCCTAGTTGCCGAGACCTCCCCCCCCTTTCCACCTTCCCCCCGCCCCTCCTCTCCCCCCCCCTACCCCCCCCCCCCCCCCCCCCCACCCTTTCGAGGCTCTCCCAAAGGTACAAACTCGGAGCCAGCTCTGTTGAAGGACGCTTTGGTTTCTTCAATAAGCTCGAGATCTGATTCTTGAAAAGTCACGTAGCATCTGGCATAAGTTATTGGGGCGGGTTAAGAATAAAGAGACGTATTTCTGCGGCTAGTAGGTTGTCAAGAGAGCCCAGGTGCTATGATGGCGGCAATGGTCTCAGAGGCATCATCTCAAGAGCTGTTTCCTCACATGGCGCCGGGATATTTCCCGGGCCTCTGGTGCCCCACTGCGGCCGAGGTTCCTCTCCCGCGGTTGCCTCATAAGTCGCCTCTGGCGGAAGAGCAACACTCGCAAGCAGCGCCGTTTGGGACGCCTTTTGAGGCGCCTCATAAGCAGTCTCACAGATCGTCTCTGGCGGAGAAGCAACACTCGCAAGCAGCAGCGTTTGGGACGCCTCAAGAGGAGCCAGTGCCGAGTGGCAGTGCCGGGCTGGAGATTCCTTGCTCCCACTCTCAGCAGGAGCTGCCTTGCTCCCACTCTCAGCAAGAGCTGCCTTGCTCCCACTCTCAACAGGAGCTGCCTTGCTACCACTCTCAACAGGAGCTGCCTTGCTCCCACTCTCAACAGGAGCTGCCTTGCTCCCACTCTCAACAGGAGATTCCTCGCTCCCACTCTCAGCAGGAGTTAAATGGCCTTCGTCCCTCCCAGTCGCAGGAGCCGGCGGGGCGGCACGGGTTGGAGGACATAATAGAGTCCCATTCCCAGCACCACATGATGGCGCCTCATTCCCAGCAAGACATGGCGCGTCATTCCCAGCACCACATGGCGCCTCGTTCCCAGCAAGACATGGCGCCTCATTCCCAGCAGCACATGGCAAAGCGTCATTCCCACCTGGACATGAAAACGCCTCATTCCGAGCCGGGGTTGGCTAGTAATAGCCGGCAGGAGTTGGAAAGCCTTCCGCTCTCCCAGCCGGCGGTATGTGGGCGGCGGGGGCTGGAGTCGATCAAGCTGGATGAGATGGTGGCGCGGGTGGTGGGGTCCGATGGGCACAGCTGGCTAAAGTACGGCCAGAAGCAAGTGCAGCGATCCAGCACCATCAGGTAGGGCTGTAGCACCGTCAGGTAGGGCTGTAGCACCATCAGGTAGGGCCGTAGAACCATCAGGTAGGGCTGTAGCACCATCAGGTAGGGCTGTAGCACTATCAGGTGGGGCTGTAGCACCATCAGGTATTGCCATTCTCTGATACGCAATGCTGTTCTTAACTCTGGTCATTGACTCTGGTCATTGACTCTGGTCCTTGACTCTGGTCATTGACTCTGGTCCTTGACTCTGCTCATTGACTCTGGTCCTTGACTCTGGTCCTTGACTCTGCTCATTGACTCTGGTCCTTGACTCTGGTCATTGACTCTGGTCCTTGACTCTGGTCCTTGACTCTGGTCATTGACTCTGGTCATTGACTCTGGTCCTTGACTCTGGTCCTTGACTCTGGTCCTTGACTCTGCTCATTGACTCTGGTCCTTGACTCTGGTCATTGACTCTGGTCATTGACTCTGCTCATTCACTCTGGTCCTTGACTCTGCTCATTGACTCTGGTCATTGACTCTGGTCATTGACTCTGGTCCTTGACTCTGGTCATTGACTCTGGTCATTGACTCTGCTCATTGACTCTGGTCCTTGACTCTGCTCATTGACTCTGGTCCTTGACTCTGGTCATTGACTCTGGTCCTTGACTCTGGTCATTGACTCTGCTCATTGACTCTGGGCCTTGACTCTGGTCCTTGACTCTGGTCATTGACTCTGGTCATTGACTCTGGTCCTTCAGGTAGGGGAGCACCATCAGGTAGGGGAGCACCATCAGGTATGGTCAAAGTGCCATCAGGTAGGGACATGTGAGACTCTCTTTTGGGACGTACTTTTGCGTTCACTCCTGTTGACTCCTGTAGACGTCTGGTGACCTCTGTAGACTTCTGTGGACTTCTGCTAACTCCTGTTGACCCCTATTGTCTTCTGCTGACGTCTGTTGACTTCTGTTGAGTTCTGTTGACTCTTGTTGACTACTGTTGACTCCTTTTGACTATTGTTGCCCTGCAGGTGCTACTACAAGTGCAGTCGCTCCAAGTTCTCCACTTCCTGCCCCGCCAAGAAGACCATCGACATTGACTGCCATGCGCTCCTCTCACCGCACGTCTTTCAAGTCACCTACCGCTGCCGCCGCCACAATCACCCAGCTCTACCCAAGCGCTCGGCCAGCCGATTTTTCAGCCACCCAGCTCTGCCTAGGCATTTGCATAACCGATTTATTGGCGCTGTTGCTGCTGCTGCTGGCTTTACTGCAGTACCAGACGCCGTTCCCAGAGCACATTCTGGCAGCGGGGAGCCGAAGACCTGCTGGCACTCCGAGCTGACTTCTGAGTCGACTCCAAAGTCACCTCTGGCTTCGTCCAACGCTGCTGCTGCTACTGTTGGCGTTGCCGCGTCGTCGGGCGCCGTTTTCCCAGGACAATCTGGCGGAGGGGAGCCGAACACCTGCAGGCACTCTGAGCTGGCTCTTGAGTCGACTCTAAAGTCACCCCCAGCTTCATGCAGCGCTGCTGCTTCTTCTGCTGCTGCCGGCTTTGCCGCACCAACCGACGCCGTATGCACAGCACGTTCTGGCAGTGGGGTGCCCGCCAGGAACGTCAGTACCGCCAGGCACTCCTTGAGGTTTGAACAGCATGGGAGCACGCAAGTGACTGCTGCTGCTGCTGTTGGTGCTGGTGGTGGTAGTGAGGGTGCTGCTGCTGCTGTCGGCTTTGCCGCACTACCTGGCACTGTTCCCATGGCACATCCTGGCTGTGGGGAGCTAAACATGCTTGAACAGCTTGGGAGCACGCAAGTCAGTGCTGCTGCTGCTGCTGCTGCTACTGCTGCTGCTGCTGCTGGTTCTAACGGTTTGGCAAATGCCAACGCCGTTTTCGTGTCAGAATTTTGCACTGAGGGCAGTGAGGTGCTGAACACTCTCAGGCCACAAGAAGCACCAGAAGTAGCAGCAGTAACCACAACATCAACAGCAGCAGCAGCAGCAGCAGCGCACGTGTACACAGCCTGCGAATTCTCAGAGGACCATCATGCCACCCACCCCCGGGAGATCCAATGGTACCTACCGGGAGCACCCCTACCGGGAGCACCCTTACCGGGAGCACCCCTTCCGGGAGCACCCCTACCGGGAGCACCCCTGCCGGGAGCACCCCTGCCGGGAGCACCCCTGCCGGGAGCACCCCTGCCGGGAGCACCCCTGCCGGGAGCACCCCTGCCGGGAGCACCCCTGCCGGGAGCACCCCTGCCGGGAGCACCCCTGCCGGGAGCACCCGTGCCGGGAGCACCCTTGCTGGGAGCACCCCTGCCAGGAGCACCCGTGCTGGAACTGCACCTACCTGGAGTGTACCTATCAGAAGCTTTCATGCGTGAAGTGCCGTCTGCAGGCTCAATACAAGGAGGAGCGCCTTTGAGCCACGAGCTCGAATGGCTCCTACCAGAAGTCTACCTACCACCAGACGCACCCCCACCGGAACCACCCCTGCCGGGAACACCCCTGTTGGAACCGCACCTGCCAGAACCGCACCCAGCAGAACCGCACCCAGAAGAACCGCGCCCAGCAGAAGCTTCTATGCATGGAGTGCCGTATGCAGGTGTGATTCAAAGAGGAGCGCCTTTGGGCCGGAGGCGAGAATGGCCCCTTCCAGAAGTGTACCTGACAGGAGCGCACCTACCGGGGGCACACCTTTCGGGAGAGCACCTACCGGGGGCACACCTTTCGGGAGAGCACCTACCGGGGGCACACCTTTCGGTATCGCACCTTTCGGGAGCGCACTTTTCGGGAGCGCACCTTTCGGGAGCTCATCCACCGGAAGTTTCAATGCATGAAGAGCCGTCAGCTCAGCAAGGAGCGGTTTGTCCCTCATCACAACACGGAATGCCGCTCGAGTCGCTGATCCCGCAAGGAGTGCTTGAGTTCCTGGGAGGGGCCAGCACTGCCTGTGTCTCTGACTTTGCAGGGGCTGATGTGCGGCCACAGTTCCAACGATGGCTGGAGGGGCGAGACCAATGGACCCATATTTCTCAGGGTTAGCCACAGGACTCAAAATACACCTTTGCAGGGGCTGATGTGTGGCCACGGTTCCAACGATGGCTTAAGGGGGCAGCAGCTTGGAATGGAGGTTTCTTGTAGCTGCTTCGCCCCCCAGCCCAACAGAGGACGACTGAGCCAAAGATTTGCAAGGACTGCTTGACCCTTCACCACAACATGGAGTGCTTGAGATCCTGGGAGGGGCCAGCACCACCTGCATCTCTGACTTTGCAGAGCTTCACGTGCGACCACAGTTCCAACGATAGCTGGAGGGTGCAGCCTCCCAGAGGGAGTCTTTTGTAAACGAGTGGCATGGTCTGAGCATCTCCCTAATCTGTTGCTGACTTTTCAGCGGTTGAGTGCGGCAGCAGCTGTAGGGCTGGCTTGAGGGTGCGGCTTAGAGGAAACACGTGGTCACGTGGTGTGACCTTAAGGGTGCGGCGTAGAGGGGAGCTTTTATAGCGCTATCACGTGGTCTGAGTGAGCATCGCTTGCTGAATTGGCAGCGACAGATGTGTGGCAGCAGATGCAGCAAGGGCTTGAGGGTGCAGCTGCCCAGAGGGGTTTTCTTGTAACTGAGTAACGTGGTCAGAGCATCTCTAATCTCGTGCTGACTCGGCAGCGACAGATGTGTGGCAGCAGATGCAGCCCTGGCTTGAGGGGGCGGCTTAGAGGGGACCTGATGGAGCTCTAACACGTGGTCTCAGTGAGCATCTCTTGCTGACTATGGACTGGTTGCTGTGCGGCAGCAGTTGCAGCACTGGCTTGGGAGTGCAGCTGCCTGGAGGGGGTGTCTTTGTTGCTGACTTCGCCGGGGCTGCTGTGCGGCGGCAGCAGCGGCAGCAGCAGCAGCAGCAGCAACAACAGCAGTTGCAACGATGGCTGTAGGGCGCTGCTTGAAGAGGAGCTTTTGTAACGCGGTAACATGGTCTGAGCGCCTCTTGCTGACTGTGGTGCAGTCAATGAGTGGCAGCAGCTGCAGCAGGGGCTTGAGGGTGCAGCTGCGCAGAGGGCTTTCCGTGTAACTGAGTAACATGGCCCGAGCATCTCTCGCTGACCATGCAGCGGTCGAAGTGTGGCAGCAGCTGTAGCAGGGGTTTGAGGGTGCGGCGGCTTGGAGGGGAGCTTTCGTAACTCGGCACTGGGGTTTGCTTGCAGGGGAGGGGAGCATCTCTCTTGCTGACTGTGCAGTGGTTGCTGTGCAGAGGGGTTTCCCTGTAACTGAGTAACCTGGTCTGAGCATCTCTAATCACTTGCTGACTCTGCAGCGGCAGATGTGTGGCAACAGCTGCAGTCCTAACTTGGGGGGGCGCAACAGCAGCAGCAGTGCTAACATGGGGGGGGGGCGCAACAGCAGCAGCAATGCTAACATGGGGGGGGGGCGCAACAGCAAGCAGCAGTGCTAACGTGGGGGTGGGGTGGGCGCAACAGCTTAGATTAGAATGCGCCTCTGACTAAATTCGCACCGCGCTCTGCGATGTATGCTTTGTGGTGTATATGGTTTGGAATGTATTATCTCCCAGTGCTTTGTGCCTGTTTGTTATTGTAGCTGCTTTTGACGTGTGCTTTGTATGTACCCTTTCTAAAATGTCGACCGAACTGGGCAGACGTGCCATCATTTTGGCTGGAGGTCCTTCTCTTTCTTCGCACAATTGCATCTACCTCACACTAATTATGCACGCTTTTCTTCATGCAATAACGAGGTTCTTTTGTTGCCGCAAAACAGGCTACACACTGCTCCCAACACAAGACCGTGCTTCACCACATCACGGTTACACGGTTACAAGACTGTACAGCATGCAGGGCCAGATGCCTTGGCTTTCGAGCCCTTCCCAGGCCCGGTCATCTCCTCCTTAATCTGCTCCAGTATTTCTATAATGCGGGCAAATGACGGCCGCGACGCAGGATCACCATTCCAGCAATCCGTTATGAGTCTGGAGCGGGGTAATACATAAGGGGGTGGAAAAAAAGGGGAAGCAATTTGTTGTCAGACTGGTGGTGTGGTGGTGGGGGATAATATGGAATGGAAGGCACGCGGAAAGAGAGGGACAGTCAGAGAGGATAACTGATCTGTTATGAGCCTGGAGGGGGGTAATACCTAAGGGGGGGCGAAAAAAAGGGAGGTAGTTTGTTGTCAGACTGGTGGTGGTGGGGGATAGTATGGAATGGAAGGCACGCGGAAAGAGAGGGACAGTAATCTGTTACGAGCGTGGAAGGAGGACACAGGAGGGTGGTGGGGGGACAGGAGGGTGGTGGGGGGACAGGAGGGTGGTGGGGGGACAGGAGGGTGGTGGGGGGACAGGAGGGTGGTGGGGAGACAGGAGGGTGGTGGGGAGACAGGAGGGTGGTGGGGAGACAGGAGGGTGGTGGGGAGACAGGAGGGTGGTGGGGAGACAGGAGGGTGGTGGGGAGACAGGAGGGTGGTGGGGAGACAGGAGGGTGGTGGGGAGACAGGAGGGTGGTGGGGAGACAGGAGGGTGGTGGGGAGACAGGAGGGTGGTGGGGAGACAGGAGGGTGGTGGGGAGACAGGAGGGTGGTGGGGAGACAGGGGCAACAGGAGGACCAGGAGGGGAAGGGAGGAGAGGAGGAGAGGAGGAGAGGAGGAGAGAAGGAGAGAAGGAGAGGAGAATTGGAGGGGAGGAAGGGAGGAGGGATGATGAAGGAGCCATGACGGTCAGCTTGCTGCCTCAATCTCCCACTCAGTTCGTCCTATCACCCCAGTCTTGCATCCCTCCCCTGCCCCCCCTCCCTTCCCCATTCTCAGTTTTGAGGCGCCTCCAAACATCACCCCAGTCTCCACCATCCCTTCTCCTCCATTCTCACTCACACTTTCACCCCCACACATACATTCCCCACTCCATCCTGATGCACTCATTCCCCACTCACTCCATCCCCACACACTCCATCCCCACTCACTCCATCCCCAAACACACACACTCCCCACTCACTCTTTCATCCCCACAGGGTAGGTGCGCCTGGTGAAGGCAGGGGCAATGTCAAACGCGCTCGCTGCTTCTGCTGGTACCTCCACCTCACTCCCACCACCAGCACCAGCAGCAACAGCAGCACCACCAGCAGAAGCACCCGCATCACCAGCACCAGCAGCACCGGCAGCACCAGTAGAGGCACCAGTACTGGCAGCAGCACCACTCCCAGAAGCAGAACCCCCCTCCTTCCCTCTCTCCTCCGCACTCCCCACCCTAAAGAACCCTCCACCCCTAAAACTCCCCCCACCATGGTAGCTCCCCCCGCCGCTGTGGTGACTCCCCCCTGCCCCCCCCTCCGCCCCATGCTCCAGATTGCTGTGACTGCTGCTGCTAAGTGCCAGTGGAAAGAGATTGCCTCCATGGTTGGTCCCCCCAGGTAGCAATTGGCGGATCTTGTCATATCCCTCAAACATCTAAGGAGGAGGTGTGTGTGTGTACGGGAAAGGGGAAGGGGGAAGGGGGGAATGGGATATAAAAACAAGGCATCAAGCAAACTAGACATTGGGAAAAAAAAAAAAAAAAAAAAAACAAAACAAAAAAACGAGCAGTGGCAAAAAATGCCTATATCCGTGCATAAACCAGTAGACACTGTGCATAAAAGAGAACAAGAATGCACCGTACCTCGAAGAGAATGACTCCAAACGGACACGCGCTGTACCTCAAACAGAAAGACTCCAAACGAATACGCACTGCACCTCAAAGAGAATGACTCCAAACGAGTACGCACTGTACCTCTACGAAATTTGACTCCAAACGAGTACGCACTGTACCTCAAAGAGAATGACTCCAAACGAGTATGCACTGTACCTCAAAGATAATGACTCCAAACATGTACGCGCTGTACCTCAAAGAGAATGACTCCAAACGAGTAAACGTCCACACTCTTGCCGTACTCCTGCTGCGCTAGTAGCTCTGGCGCAGAGTACAGCCCTGCCATGCCATGGGGTGACAGGAGACAAAAGGGAGAATGGGGGGGGAGGGGCGCGAGAGGGAGAGGGCGGGGAGAGGGGGGAGAGAGAAGGTTGTTCACACGTCCACTCTCTTGAAGCAACCCTGCGGTGACAACAGCTCAGGCGCAGCGTACAGCCCTGCCGTGCGGGGGTGGGGGGACTCAAAAGTGGGAGGACGGGGGGAGAGGGGGGGAGGAGGGGGGGTGCGGGGAGAGGGGGGGAAGGGCAAGTTTTCCCAAGATTTTAGGGAGTTAGCGGGCAGGGCGGAAGAGCCGACTTTTGAGTCGGCTCAAGGGCAGGACAGAAGGGCACTTTACACAGAAAGATATCTTTGCGTGACAGTTAAAAAACGAAGCTTGCTCACAGTGGCTGTGTTTGGAGAACATGAGTCAGTGCTAGAAGGTGGGCTGGAACAGCGACACAATGTTCGATGCACCTCCCATTCTCATGCCCATGCCCATGCCCATGCCCATGCCCATGCCCATGCCCATTGAGGGTGCAAATGGTGACTGGTAGAGCTTGCTCACGGTGGCTGTGTTTGGAGAAGACGAGTCGGCGCGAGAAGGTGGGCTGGAAGAGAGACACGATATTTGATGCACCCATGCCCATCCCCATTCCTCCCATTCCCGTGGAGGGAGTGAGGGGTGCGGCAGCGGTGGCTCTGATGCTCGAAAGCCCAAAATCCGCCACCTTGAGATGACCCGAGTCGTCGCGCAAGAGATTGCTGGGAAGGGGTTCAGCCAGCAGGGAGGGACAGAGGGTCGCAGGAGGGAGAGGGAAGGGAGAGCGGGGTGTGGCAGCGGTGGCTCTGATGCTGGGGGCCTGGCATCCGCCCCCTTGAGATGACCCGAGTCGTTGAGCAAGAGATTGCTGGGGGTTGGTGCAAGGAATGCAGGCAGGCAGCAGAGGAGGGGGGGGGGGGAATGGGGGACGGGGGAGGGGGGGGGGGGGATGGGGGACGGGGGAAGGGGGGGGGGATGGGGGACGGGGGAGAGGGGGGGGGGGGGGGGGGAAGAGATGGCCCGAGTCGTCCCTCAAGAGATTGCTGGGGGTTGGTGCAAGGAATGCAGGTAGGCAGCAGAGGGGAAAGGGGGAGTGGAGGAGGGGGGGGGGGGGGGGAGGGAAAGATTCTGAGGGTCACTGTGATACTGCTAGCACGCACGTAGCAGTGGTGGTGGCTGTGATGACGGAAACCCAGGGGGATGAGGGAGTGGATGGCAGGGAGGACGTAGAAGGGAGACGGGGGAGTAGAAGCAAAATGCGGGGATGGCAGAAGAGGAGAGAGGGAAAACTGCCTTAATACATACAGCCGTCCTCACATTGTGCACATACAGCGCCCTGCCATGCGCCCTGCCATGCGCCCTGCCACGCGGCCTGCCATGCGCCCTGCCATGCCCCCTGCCATGCCCCTGCTGCTGTCCTTGGCATACCTGGGAGTCAAGTCCCTGTGAATGACGGGGTCTGGCCGGTGTGCGTGCAGATAGCACATGCCTCTGCGGTGGTAGAAGGGTGGGGAAAGCGGGAGAGTAGCCAAGGGGAGTCGGAGAAGGAGGGAAGGATGAAGGCACAAGAGAGGGTCAGGTCACATCACGCCTCTGCGGGCGCGAATCACAGGAGAGGGTCTGGCTGGTGGGCATGGTGGTGAGAGCGGTGGAAGGATGGGGACATGCCTCTGCGGTGGAAGGATGGGGAGGGCGGGAGAGCCACGGGGGCGTAAGAGGAGGGAAGGATGAATGCAGAATAGAGGGCCAAGTCACGGTGAATGATGGGGTCTGGCTGGCTGGTGGGCGTGCAGATAGCACATGCCACTGGGGGGGGGGAGGCGGAGGAGGAGGAAGAGATGAGAGGGGTGGAGTAGAGGAGAGGAGAAGAGAAGGGGCTGAACTGTTGCATCCTCTTGGTGCGTGTGTCGGGGGGGGGGGGGGGTGAGGTGGGGAGGGGGCATGCAGGGAAAGAGAGTACCTGGCAATATCAAGGGCATAACGAAGAGCCTCTTGAGCAGGTAGAGGGCAGGGAGAGGAGGGGCGGGGGTGTGTGGTGGGCGGGGGGTTGGAAGGGGGTTCGGGGGGAGGGGGGAGTGGGGGGGGGAAGGTGCGGAATATTCAAAGGAAGAAGAGTACCTGGCAACATTGGGAGCATAGCGAAAGCTCTTGAGCACGCAAGGACAGAGGGGGCAGGGACGGGAGGGGGGGTGTGTGGTGAGGGGGGAGGCAGGTGGTGTGGGACATTCGAAGGAAGATCGTACCTGGCAACATCGAGGGCATAGCGCAGAGCCTCTTGAGCAGGCAAAGCACCTTTCTTGCGAATGACATCCCTCAGATTCACCTGCAAGGGGAGAGCACAGGGGGGTGAAGGTAAGCGGGGGAGGGATAGAGGGCAGCACGGGGGAACAGGGACTATAAAAATCTGAGGGAGTGACGGGAGGGAAGAGGGGAGTGCACGGGGGAGAGCAGGTACGAGGGGAGGGGCAGGGGGGATATACAGCACAGCAGCACAGCACTACTGAAGAGATATGCGTTGCCAGTAAACCTTACCTTGAGGTACTCTGTAACGATCATGCGTGGCCGGGACTTGGTAACCGCCCCTAGGAACTGCACTATGTTGGGGTGTCTTAGTGACTGCAGAATGCGCAGCTCCTGTCGAAACTCGTTGCTGCGGATTGGGAGGAAGGAGGGAAACGAATGGGAGAGGAGACCGGGAGAATGGGAGGTTGGGGAGAGTTTGGGAGGAGGGGGAAGGAAATCGAACGGGAGGTGAGAGCGGAGGGAGGGGGGTGGAGAAGGGGTGAATAGAAGACACTGCACTATGTTGGGGTGTCTTAGAGACTGCAGGATGCGCAGCTCCTGCCGAAACTCGTTCCTGGAAGGGAAAAGAGGGGAGACGGGGGGGGAGGGGGAGGGGAGGGGGAAGGGGGAGAGGGGGAGGAGAGGCGAGAGGAAGGTGGGGTGGGGTCAGCCCCCATTCTGGCAGGCGGTCAGGGCCCCACTCTGGCGGTCAGGGACCCATTCTGCCAGTCAGAGTCCCCATTCTGGCGGTCAGACCCCATTCTGGCGGCCAGAGAGACCCCATTCTGACGGTCAGAGCCCCATTCTGGCGGTCAGAGCCCCATTCTGGCGGCCAGAGGCCCCATTCTGGCGGTCAGAGTCCCATTCTGGCGGTCAGAGCCCCATTCTGGCGGTCAGAGCCCCATTCTGGCGGTCAGAGCCCATTCTGGCGGTCGGAGCCCCAATCTGGCGGTCAGACCCCCATTCTGGCGGTCGGAGCCCCAATCTGGCGGTCAGACCCCCATTCTGGCGGTCAAAGCCCCCATTCTGGCGGTCAGAGCCCCATTCTGGCGGACAGAGCCCATTCTGACGGTCAGAGCCCCATTCTGGCGGTCAGAGCCCAAATCTGGCGGTCGGAGCCCCATTTTCGCGGTCAGAGCCCCATTCTGGCTGTCAGAGCCCCATGCTGGCGACCAGAGCCCCAATCTGCAAGTCAGAGACCTACTCTGGTGGTCAGAGCACATTCTGGTGGTCAGAGGCACATTCTGGCGGTCAGAACTCCCATTCTGTCAGTCAGGGCCCCATTCTGGCAGTCAGAGACCCATTCTGGCGGTCAGAGCCCCATTCTGGCGGTCAGAGCCCTCATTCTGGCGGTCAGAGCCCCCATTGTGCTGGTCACAGCACCAATCTGGCGATCAGAGCCCCATTCTGGCGGTCAGAGCCCCATTCTGGCTGTCACAGCCCCATTCTGGCGGTAAGAGCCCCAATCGGGCGGTCAGAGCCCCATTCTGGCGGTCAGAGCCCATTCTGGCGACCAGAGCCCATTCTGGCGGTCAGAGCCCCAATCTAGCGGTCAGAGCCCCATTCTGGCTGTCAGAGCCCCATTTTGGCTGTCAGAGCCCCATTCTCTCGCGGTCAGAGCCCCATTCTGGCGGTCAGAGCCCTCATTCTGGCGGTCAGAGCCCCCATTGTGCTGGTCACAGCACCAATCTGGCGATCAGAGCCCCATTCTGGCGGTCAGAGCCCCATTCTGGCGGCCAGAGCCCCATTCTGGCGGTCAGAGCCCCATTCTGGTGGTTAGAGCCCCATTATGGCGGCCAGAGCCCCCATTCTGCCGGTCAGAGCCCCATTCTGGCGGTCAGAGCCCCGATTCTGGCGGTCAGAGCCCCATTCTGGCGACCAGAGCCCATTCTGGCGGTCAGAGCCCTCATTCTGGCGGTCAGAGCCCCATTCTGCCGACCAGAGCCCCGTTCTGCAAGTCAGAGCCCCATTCTGGCAGTCGGAGCCCCATTCTGGCGGTCAAAGCCCCATTCTGGCGGTCAGAGCCTCATTCTGGCGGTAAGAGCCCCAATCGGGCGGTCAGAGCCCCATTCTGGCGGCCAGAGCCCCATTTGGGCGGTCAGAGCCCCATTCTTGCATTCGGGGCCCCATTCTGCCGGTCAGAGCCCCATTCTGGCGGTTAGAGCCCCATTCTGGCGGCCACAGCCCCCATTCTGCCAGCCAGAGACCCATTCTGGCGGTCAGAGCCCCGATTTGGGCGGTCACAGCACCATTCTGGCGGTCAGAGCCCCTTTCTGGCGGTCAGAGACCCATTTTGCCAGTCAGAGTCCTCATTCTGGCGGTCAGAGCCCCAATCTGGCGGTCAGAGCCCCATTCTGGCGGTCAGACCCCAATTCTGGCGGTCAGAGCTCCATTCTGGCGTCCAGATCCCCATTCTGGCGGTCAGAGCCCCGATTTGGGCGGTCACAGCACCATTCTGGCGGTCAGAGCCCCATTCTGGCGGTCAGATCCCCATTCTGGCGGTCAAAGCCCCATTTGGGCGGTAACAGCCCTATTCTGGCGGCCAGAACCCCCATTCTACTGGTCAGAGACACATTCTGGCGGTCAGAGCCCCCATTCTGGCGGTCAGAACCCCATTCTAGCGCTCGGGATTTCCCGCTCGGGATTCTCTACTGCCAGCCTACTGCCAGTGCAAGCCTTACAGAGCAGCAGGATCGGCAGCGTATTCGTCTCTCAGCACCTTCACAGCAATGGGTGTGCCTCTCCAGCTCGCCAGCCGCACCTCTCCAAACGACCCCTGGGAGATGGTGTTGGGGAGAGAGGAGAGGGGACAAGGGAGAAGAGGTAATGAGGGAACCGAGTACAAGAGGAAGGATGGGAAGGGGGGGAAGGTGGGGACGGGGCGAAGTGGGGGAAGGAGGGGTAATGACCTTGGATTTCTCCAGGTCGATCTCGGACCCATAGATCTCGTAGTGTGATTGCTGAAAGACATAGGCAAGCTTCTCATCGCGCCCCCTTTGTCCCCTTCCCGCTCACCTCGCCAATGATCTTGGACATCCCCAGGTCGATCTCGGACCCGTCGATCTCATAGCCGTGGTTGCAGAGGGAGCTGACTATCTGATACCCCATCAAAGACATAGGCATACATCTCACCTCGCCCCCTCGTCCCCCTTCCCGTTCCCCCTCACCTCGCCAATGACCTTGGAGCTCCCTAGGTCGATCTCGGACCCATAGATCTCGTGGTCGTGATTGCTGAAAGACATAGGCATACATCTCATCGCGCCCCCTTTGCCCCCTTCCCGCTCACCTCGCCAATGACCTTGGACATCCCCAGGTCGATCTCAGACCCGTCGATCTCGTAGTCGTGGTTGCCGAACGAGTTGGATGCTGCATTGCGTATGCGCGCGCTCTGAGAGGGTTGGGGTAGAGGGTGATGAGAACGGCAAGCGAGCAGGGAGAGGCAAAAGTAGAGGCAACTAAGAGGCCAGGGGCAAAAGTAGAGTCCAGGGAGGGAGACTTTTGAGTCGACTCAAACGGGGCTAAAGTAGAGTCCAGGGCGGGAGACTTATGAGTCGACTCAAAAGGGGCTAACGTAGAGTCCAGGGGGGGAGACTTTTGAGTCGATTCAAAAGGGGCTAAAGTAGAGTCCAGGGCGGGAGAAGGAGCTGGATGCTGCATTGCACATGCACGCCGTCTAAGAGGAATGTGGGAGGGAGGGAGGAGGGAAGGAGAAAAAGGGATGCTCGGTTTGTTCGTGGCAAAGGTAGGGGGCAAAGGGAGAAGAAAGAACGAGTTGAACGGGGCATTGCACATGCAAGCAGCCCCTCGCCCACTTTTTCTTTACCCTCCACAATCCTCCACTGGAACTCCCCACCCCCCTGACCCCCCCTCATCTCCTGGCCCCCCCTCAACCTTTACAGCCCCCCCAACCTCCCCCCCACCTCACAGAGCAAGCCCCCGTTGTCCTTGAGCAGTCGGCATATCTCCGCTGACCCGTACGACTGCGCATCTGCCAAGGGCTGCCAGGGACAATCACCAGGCCATGCAATGTCAAGGACAATCACCAAGCCATGCAATGTCAGGGACAACCACCAAGCCATGCAATGTCAGGGACAATCACCAGGTCATGCAATGTCAGGGACAATCACCAAGCCATGCAATGTCAGGGACAACCACCAAACCATGCAATGTCAGGGACAAACACCAAACCATGCAATGTCAGGGACAATCACCAGGCCATGCAATGTCAGGGACAATCATCAAGCCATGCAATGTCAGGGACAATCACCATGCCATGCAATGTCAGGGACAACCACCAAGCCATGCAATGTCAGGGACAACCATCAAGCCATGCAATGTCAGGGAAAATCACCATGCCATGCAATGTCAGGGACAACCACCAAGCCATGCAATGTCAGGGACAATCACCAGGCCATGCAATGTCAGGGACAACCATCAAGCCATGCAATGTCGGACAACCATGGGACATCACAAAGGCAGGGAACAAAGTCAAGACCAAGGTTAAGTCACAATGTGAAGTGGCAATGTCAGGGAGCAACGGGAAGTCCACAACGTCAGCAGCAATGTCTCACCGTGTTCCCGTGCCGCTCCTTGGGGTTCACATCCGCTCCTCGCTCCAACAGCAGCCTCCCAACGAAACACCCTCCCAACGAAACACCCTCCCAACAAAACACCCTCCCAAAGAAACACCCTCCCAACGAAACACCCTCCCAACAAAACACCCTCCCAACGAAACACCCTCCCAACAAAACACCCTCCCACCACCCTCCCAACACCCGCCTTTCCTTCACTCACCGTGTTCCCATGCCGATCCTTGGGGTTCACATCAGCCCCTCGCTCCAACAGCAGCCTCACAACGTCAACCTTCCCCTCGCTCGCCGCCAGGTGCAGCGCCGTCCGCCCGTCATAGTCCGCCAAATCCGGACTAACTCCGCGGTCCAATAGGTCAATAACTCCGTCTACTATTCCGCGGCTCGCCAGGAACAGCAGCTGGCCCGTGGCGTCCACGAGCTCGCGGTGCCGTGCTGAGGTGTTCGCGGCGTCTTGCCCGTTGCGCGCGTCTGTGATTGGCCCTTTCGGAGCTAGGCGTGCGGCGATGCTAGGTGCGGCAAGAACTGACCGAGCTGGAGCTTGAGCCTGATCTCCAATGATAGTAGGTTGCTCTTGATCGCCTCCAAGGTTAGCTTCACCTTGACTTCTGCCAGCTTCTGGTAACTCGGCCGCTGATGCCGACGCTAATGTCACTGCTGATGCCTCCGGTGCTAATGCTTCGGCTGATGCTTCCGCTGATGGTTCCGCTGATGATTCCGGCGCTGATGCTTCCGCGGCTTGCGGAGTCCCCGCTCCTACAGGTTGCGGGGATGATTCTGTTTCAGCCGTTTGAGGGGATTCAGCCATTTCCGCAGCTTGCGGACGCTCCGCTACTGCTACCTTTTCAACAGGGGTTCCCGCGGCCGCAAGCATTTCGCCTAACAGTGTCGCTCTGTTTTCTGCCTGTTTAAGGGTTTCCGGTTCATTTGACGAGCATGCGTGGTTACTAGCATTACTTGCACTCAGTGGCGACGCTTTGCTTATCGGAACTCGGGAGTCGATATGTCTAGGCTTCCACGATATCCGATCAGCTAAGACGAGAACCTAACCGTCAGGGAATCTAGTCCACGATGCGAGAGCGTCCAACGTGTGCTATATATATGGGTCCAAGAGGCTAAGACACAAGAGATCAAGCTAGGTTTTCCAAAACTAGGATGCTCAGGCTTGTATAAAGCAGCGAGAACAGCAGTCATGGCTGTCTTGCGTTGTGCTTTCTTGCTCTGCAAAACAAAATAAAACCTGTTGGCTTGGCAGGTGGCTTGGTCTGTTGAAGGGCGCCTTCACGAGTGAAACGTCCTCTCGAGAGCAGCTTTCGTTTCAGCGGGAGTTACAGGTACTACTGACCGGATGAACCGTGAAACCAAAACGGGATTTTCTGTACGGCTCCAGTTTCGTTCCCAAGATCACGACATGCAACCTGGAAGAGATGGGCCCCAGTGTAGAATTGACACGCACGAGCCTTGAAACTGTCCGATTTCGAACCACGAGTCAGCGTAGGCAGGACAGGCCTCTCGTGAAAGCAGTACTCGCCAGAAGTTGCGTTACTACTTTGTACCCCACCCCACAACCTTTCCGCTCACCTTTGCTCTAATAAGTTATAACAAATGAAGCTCACACAAAAACTCAATGTTGAAGTATACTCAACATAGTTTACTTATGCATTCCTGATATTTTACTTAGACTGTACTTGTAGTTAAATTATATATTATATATCTATAATTATTGCCTTGGTAGGTGTTACTGGATCCTACTGCAGAGGGTACAACTCAGTTCTTGTACCTCTCTCTCTTGCCTAATGAAATCTCTCTCCTCTCTCGACATTTTTGCTAGCACCTAAACCTCTCGTCATTCATGATGTCTCTTCCTATCTAGAATAGTTTCTGACATGGTATCGGAGCAGGAGTTCCGCCCTACTCGGCCGCCTCCTTACGCTTCCGCCGCATACTCCCCCCCTCTCGTTACTTCCGCGCCGCCGTGTCAGCCGTATCGTGCTGCCATGGCGGCCTTGTCGTGCTGACGTGGCAGCCTCGACGTGGCGGCTTCGTCGTGCCGCCGTCGTCGCGTCAGCGCACGGGCGGCAGTGGGCCGCGCACTGGTTTAGGCACCAGGCAGCAAGCCCGCACTCCAGCTCGCCGCGCCTCCCCAGCTCATCGTGTCAGACCCAGCTCGCTACGTCGGACCCAGCTCGCCGTGTCGGTCCCAGCTCGTAGCGTCGGTCCCAGCTCGCCACACCAGCTGGCTCCGCTCCGCTGCAGCTTAAGGATGCCTAGCGCCTTCCTTACCTGCAGTCACCTCTGCTGCAGGGTATGGGGGTGCTAGGCTTAGAGGTGTTGCATGTGGGGTGGGCTTGTGACTACTAAGTATCAAACATATATTGTATGCTTTTGTAAACTATATAGGGTTATGCCTTAGGGAGTACAACCCATTAGGTTATATTCCCTAGTATGCCTTGTTCTAGTTATTCTTTCATTTGAACATAGTATCATGAGTAGGTAGGTCCCCCCCCCCCCCCCCCAGGGCTTCCGCCCTAGGTCCTAACCGCCTCGTCGCCCCGCGGCCCGTCATCTCGCGGCCCCGTTCCCTAGCGGCCCCGCGGCCCCGTCACCTAGCGGCTCCGCGGCCCCGTCCCCTAGCGGCCTCGCGACCCCGTCACCTAGCGGCCCCGCGGCCCCTTCCCCTAACGGCCCCGCGGCCCCGTCCCCTAGCGGCCCCGCGGTCCCGTCCCTTAGCGGCCCCGGTGCTGTCCCCGCCGCAGCCGCCGTCGTCACCGCCGCTGGGGTTCGTGCGTTCTGGGGGTGCTGGGGAGTGGGCTGGAGCTGGTTCTGGAGCGGGCTCTGGGGGTGCTGGCGTGGGGCTTCTCGGAGGGAGCTGTGTTGTTGCTGGAGGTTCTGGTGTTGGAGTCGGGCAGCAGTCGCAGCTGTCACCGCCGGTGTCCGCTCTTTGCCTCCTCGGTCTCTCTTCCCCTGACCGCCCGTCGCTGCCTCCACCGCTGCCGCCGCCTCCTCCTCTGCCGGTCCACGGCCCTGTGCTTCCTCCCCCGGACTCCTCTCCGGCTCGTTTCCCTCCCCGTTCTCTTCCTGCGTCTCCTCCCCTCTCTCCTGACTCGACTCCTCCGTCTTACGTCTAGTCTCGTCGTCCGTCTCGTGCTCGTCCTACCTCCCATATTCCATGTTCTCACCCTATGTTGCTGCGCTCTCACGCGTCTCGTGCTCCACCTCTCCTCCCGTCTTCTCCTCCGTCATCACTTGCTGTGGCCCCGCCTCCGTTCTCGGACTTCCTCCGTACTGCGCGTCCCCTTGTTCCTCGTGTCATTGCCTCTCTCGTTACCGACCCGTCCGTTCCTGTCTCGAGTCTCTCGGCTCTTGTCGCTGCTGTCATTGACTTCGCCGCTACCCGCCGCCTGGACTACGCCACCGCTCTGGTCTCTGACCCTGCCTGCCCTCCGACCGTCGGGGGTGTGGCTGCTCTTGGCAGTGACATCCTAGAGGAGAGGTAGTTCGAGCTCGCTTTCCTGTCTGAGGTCGCTCCCCATCTTTGTTCCATGCTACTAGTCCCTGAGGGTGACCTAGATGCCCTCGACATCCCGACCCCTGACACCTACGTTGTCGCCACCTCGGGACCCTGGGCCGCTCAATGGATAGCTGCCATGGAGCAGGAGATGGCATCTTGGAGATCCATCAGTACCTTCGTCGACGCAGTTCCCCCACCTGGGGTGAACGTAGTCGATGGCCGGTGGCTCTTCAAGGTGAAGCGCCCTCCTGGAAAGCCGCCTGTCTTCAAGGCGCGTTACATCGTTCGAGGCTTCAGTCAGCGTGAGGGGGTGGACTTCTTTCCGACCTTCGCCCTGACCCCAAAGATGACCACTCTTTGGGCGCTGCTACACGTAGCAGCACAGCGTGACTACAAGCTGCACTCCCTCGACTTCTCCACAGCTTTCCTCTAGGGCAGTCTACATGAGCAGGTCTACCTGCACCGCCCCCATGGCTTCTCCGGTACCTTCCCCCCTGGCACCGAGTGGCTCCTCCGGTGCCCCATCTACGGCTTGCGACAGGCGCCCCATGAGTGGCACGACACGCTGCGTGCTACACTTGCTGACTTGCAGTTCTTCCCTTCGTCTGCAGACCCCTTGCTCTTTGTCCGTTCCGGCCAGACTCCGCTCTACATCCTTGTCTACGTAGATGATCTGGTCTTTGCTACTGCAGACAGAGACGCACTGGCCGCTGTGAAGGCCGAGCTGCTGAAGAGACACACCTGCACTGACCTAGGAGAGTTGCGCCGCTACCTTGGTTTGCAGATCTCCAAGGACAGAGCAGCGCGCACCAGCGTAAGTGCGAGGGGTCGGGATGTCAAGAGCGCCTGGGTTACCCTCATGGAGTAGCAGTAGGGAGCAGAGATGGGGAGCGGCCCCGGACAGGAAAACTAGGTTGAACTGCCTGTCCTCTAGGACGTCACTGCCAAGGGCAGGAGCACCCCCGACGGACGGAGGGCGGGCAGGGTCAGAGACCAGAGCGGTGGCGTAGTCAAGGTGGCGGGTAGCGGCAAAGTTTGTGATGGCAGCAACAAGAGTGTCAAGACTAGAGAGAGGAACAGGTGGGTCGGTAACAAGAGAGGTGAGGACCCGAGGAACAAGAGGACTAGCGGCATGGAGGAAGTCAAGCAGGGGAGGCGGAGCGAGAACAAACGACGACAGAGGAGGCGACGGGAGGAGGGGAGGACTAGACGCGTGGGAACAAAGCAGCATATGGTGAGAGCGCTGGACAGGAGAAACATAACGAGCACGAGAGGGACGATGAGACCAGAAGTGGGACGGAGGCGTGGGGTCAGGAGATACAAGAGGAGAACGTGGGGGAAAACAAGACGTAGATGAGTCCGGCGAAGAAACAGAGGACCGTAGACAAGTGGGGGAGGCGCAGGCGAGCGGTCAGGGGAGGGAAGACCGAGGAGGCGAAGGGCGGACACCGGCGGCGATTGCTACTGCTGCTGCTCCACGCTGACACCAGAACCTCCAGCTGCACCACGGCTACCTCCGGGACACTCCACGCCAACACCTCCAGAGCAAGAACCCTCTCCAACACTAGTGCCAGCACTGGGGCTACGACGACTGCTGCTGTGGCTGCGTCGGCGACGACGGCTGCTGCTGCGGTGTAGGAGGAGGCGACACCGCGGCAAAGACAGGCTGCGACACCAAAGCCGCGGGGCCCCCGGAGTCAGCCGACTCCTCGATTGGGACAACCGACGGAAGGGGAGTGTCGAAAGACACACCAGACGGGGCAGGATGGGGAGGAAGAGGAGCATAGGCTACCGGGGGAGTGGGGACAAAGAACAGGACGGGGCAACGGGGAGGCCTTGGTGGGGAAAGCAGGTGTAGAAAGAGACAGACCCATCAAAAGTGACGTCACGGGAGTGACAGAAACAGTGAAACGGCGGGTGGTAAAAGTGCCAGTCAGGCGCGTCAAGGGAGAAACCAAGGAAGACACAAGGGATGGTGCAGGCAGTGAGCTTGTCCGTACGAGAGGCACGAACGTGAGCAAGGCAGCCCCAAACGTGGAATGCTGACTCGTCAACAGGGAACCCCGTCCAGAGAAGGGTCGGCAAAACCTGCGGCCACAGATTAAGCTGGTGAGCGGCGTAGCGAACGGCGAACGGCCACAGAAAATGGGGTGCACCGGCATGGATCATTAAGGTACGTGCCCCCTCCATGGCCAAACCGTTGTGTCGCTATGCTACCCCATTTTGCTGCGAGAAGTCCGGCAGGGTGTACGACTGGGTGATGCCCTCCGCACATCGGAAATAGCCAAGCCGACCAGAGGCGAACTCGCTGCCACGGTTCGAGTGGGGACGCAGCACAGGGAGGCCGCGGTGGACTCGCGCAGCTATGACCCACGAGATAAGGGCGTCACGCATGTCGGTCTTCCGCTGTAGGGGAAACACCGTGGTGTAGCGCATGAAGTCGTCGACAAGCACTATGAATTAGAGCTCGCAACGCGACCCAGGGACAGGGACAGGACCCCAAACGTCCAGGGGCAGGGTCTGTAGTGGCGTAGTGATAGGTGTGAGCGAGGAGGAGTGGGGATCATGGCGCAGCCGGCCCTCGACATAGGGCGTGCATGGCGGCACAGGAGAGGGCGGGAGGGCAGGGAGCAAAGCAGGGCGACCAAGGACAAGCCCGTGATGGGACATGTGACCCAGACGCGA